TGAAGTAACTTGCCCAACACTGGCCATTACGCATCAAGATGTGGAAGGCCTGCATTTGCTCAATGTTGTCAAGAACTTGTTTGTGTGTCCATGAGGGCTGCAGATCACTGTTAAAGAGAAGGCACCAAACTGTGTTTTTAAGGGATGCTATTTCAGTGAGAATTAACCATGAGGTTGGCTTGATTTTTCCAGATTTTGCAACAGTGTGTTGTAACAGTCATTATATCTGTGTGATCTGAGCCCACAGATGATTGCAAAGTGCAAATATACCACAACAAACCAATGTGTGTGTGCACATACAGCATGCAGCTCCTCAAATCCTCATGCTTACATCATTATCATCATTGCTTACATCATAGAGCTGAGCTCTGTGCTGGAAACCTTTGGTCTCACTCAGCATGTGAGTGGCCCCACCCACAGCAGAGGACACACTCTCGATCTGTTAATTACCAAGGGGGTTAATATTTCAAATGTAAATGTGGTCAATGTTGCTCTGTCTGATCATTTCTGTGTATTTTTTGACATGTGTCTTGATTGTAAACCACCAGCTGAATCTTCGGTTGTTAGAAGAAGACACATAAATGATAATACAGGCGAACTGTTCATGGGGAGGGTAAACTTTGAGAACACGTTGTGTGTTACTGTAGATGAATTACTTGATTCTGTCACCACCACTGTTTTGAATGTTCTGGATACAATTGCTCCTGTAAAGGTTAAAATAGTTACAAACAAGCAAAAAGCGCCATGGACTAAAGCAGACTCGGTCAGGGCACAGAAGAGAGAGTGCCGGAAGGCCGAGCGGAAGTGGCGAAAGTCAAATCTCAAAGTTGACCATGAGATCTTCAAAGATGCGTTGTGCAATTTTAACAGGGAACTACGTAGAACGAGGGAAATGTACTTTTCTGAAACTATTGAAGGCTGTAGCAACAATCTACGTGTTCTGTTTTCAACAGTAAATAGATTGACGAATCCCCCTGTTAAGATGCCATCAGAACTTACTTCCAAATCTAAATGTAATGAGTTTGCTCAGTTCTTTAATGACAAAGTCCAAGGTATCAAAAACGCCATCACCTCCACGATAGAAATAATAATCCAACCGCCAAGTGAGGCTTTTTGGGCTGACGCACTTTACACCAGTACAAATTGAAACTGTCCAGGAGATAATCACTAGTCTGAGTTCCTCCACATGCAGCCTGGATGTATTACCTCCTAGATTTCTCAAGTCAGTTCTGAGCAGTCTTTTACCCTCACTTACACAAATAGTTAATATGTCTCTTGAATCTGGAACATTCCCAATGGCCTTGAAAACGGCGGTCATCAGGCCCCTCCTAAAAAAGAGGAGTCTGGAAGCCCTGGCACTCAAAAATTATCGGCCCATTTCAAATCTGCCTTTCATGGGAAAAATTCTAGAAAAAGTTGCCTATCAACAACTTACAGAATTTTTAATAATCAATAACGCTTATGATATGTTCCAGTCAGGGTTTAGACCCCACCACAGCACTGAGACCGCGCTAATAAAGGTAACAAATGACATCAAACTAAACACTGACGCAGGAAAAGTCTCAGTCCTTTTTCTGTTAGATTTAAGTGCTGCTTTTGACACTATTGATCATGGCATCCTCATTCAGAGACTTGAGGACTGGGTTGGTGTTGCTGGCACCGCCCTAAGCTGGTTTAGGTCCTATTTACAAGACAGAAAGTTTTTTGTGGAGATCGAAAACTGTACCTCAGACCACTTGGCCCTGACCTGCGGAGTGCCACAGGGGTCAATCCTGGGTCCTCTTCTGTTTAATATTTACATGTTGCCTCTAGGTCAGTTGATTCACAGTAATAATGTCTCTTATCACAATTACGCTGACGATACTCAGGTCTATGTGTCCCTGACAGCAGGAGAGCATGAACCAGTGGACTCGCTCCTTCACTGTGTCCAGCAAATCGGTGATTGGATGCAAAATAACTTTCTCCAACTAAACACCGACAAAACTGAAATAATTGTTTTCGGACCCCAGAAACAAAGAGAGAGCGTTATTTGTCACCTCCAGGCTTTCTCTCTACAACCCTCAAATCAGGTCAGAAATCTAGGAGTGATAATGGACTCAGACTTAAATTTCAAAAGCCACATAAAATCTGTAACATCAGCAGCTTATTACCACCTAAAAAACATTGCTAAAATTAAAAACATAGTGTCTAAGGCAGACTTGGAGACTCTTATACACGCTTTTGTCTCCAGTCGGTTAGACTATTGCAATGGCCTGCTCACAGGTCTGTCCAAACAGGCTGTAAAACAGCTGCAGTACATTCAACATGCAGCAGCTCGAGTCCTGACCAGAACTAGGAAGTGCGACCACATTAGTCCAGTTCTCAGGTCTCTGCACTGGCTTCCTGTTCCTCAGAGAATAGACTTCAAAGCAGCTTTACTTGTGTACAAGTCTCTCCATGGTCTCGCGCCAAGGTACATCCGTGACATGTTTGTGCCATATGAACCGACCCGGACTCTGAGGAGCACAGGGACTGGACTCCTGTTAGTGCCCAGAGTCGGTACTAGACATGGGCAAACTGCATTTCAGATTCATGCGGCTAGAGTCTGGAACCGTCTTCCTGAGAATGTGAGACAGGCGTCTACTCTGGCATCTTTTAAATCTAGGCTCAAAACAATTCTGTTTAGCTGCGCATATACAACTGAATGATTTTATCTTTTCATCTTTGTTTTTATCTTTAATCTTTTTAATGCACTGTGACTATTTATGATTTTAGTCCCATCTGTGATTTTAATGTTTAAAGGTTTTTAATTTTTGTGATTTTATTTTTAATGTTTTTAATATATCTTGTGCTCTTAATGTGTTTGATTTATGCATGATGTGATAGGGGATGTGAAGCGCTTTGCGTTGCCTTGTGTAGGAAAGGCGCTCTACAAATAAACGTTGATTGATTGATTGATTGATTGATTCCCAGACAGAGTGTGGCCCTTAAAGTGTCCTGGAGTCCAGAGCACTGTGTCATACGTTCACTATATGTATATGTTATTTTGATATTAGACCGCTGATTTAAGAATACATGAAGCAGACAAATGTATTTACTTCTTTGAGAAAACATAAACAAGACATAATGTTAATGAAATGTTTGTTTTTATATATATATATATATATATATATATATATATATATATATATATATATATATATATATATATAATCAAAAAGCTAAAAACATCTGTAGTCTGTAACTTCCACTTGGGATAAGTGTGTTATCAGCACTGCATAGTTCAGTCCTGCAAATATTGCATGTTGTGAACATAATTGATTTGTACGATGACGTAGTAACTAGTGCTGTCCAACGATTAAAATATTTAATCGCGATTCATCGCATGAATTTCATAGTTAACTCGCGATTAATCGCAAATTAGTCACACATTTGTATCTATTCTTTATGTCCCTTGAATTAATTAAAATAAAATAAAAATAATAAAATAAAATTAATAATAATAATAAAATAAAATAAAAAATGAATGAATAAGTAGATAAATATAATAATAACATGAATAATATGTGCATATAATGATAATACACAAGTCAGGGTAAGCGAAAGCTTATTTTAATGCATGACACGTTTAGTTAAGAAAAACACTTGGGGAAAAAGGAACAAAATAAGAGAGGGAATGGGCCGGGCGTGGGCTCCCTCCTCCCCTTTTTGGGGTGGGGGCCTGCTTGGGGGTCTGTGTGTGTGTCGGATTTGGTTTTGATGTTGGCTGGGTTCCGCTTAGCTTGGTGAAACTCAGGCGGGCAGACTTTATATCTTATCTTATCTGTGGGGTGTATGTGTGTGTGTGTGTGGAGTGTGTGTGTTTATGGGTGTGGGTGTGTGTGTGTATGTGTGGGTATAGACCATAGACTGAATAGAAACATCATGGTGTCATTATGATGATGATAAACAATCTGTAAATATTTTGTAAATGTGTTCATGTAAATACTCTATGCTGTTTCTCTGTTTACTTTCGGTATATCTATGACTGTATACTGTTTGCTTGTATTGCCTTTTTATTAACCCTCCCCCCATCTCCCACTTCATTCCCCCCCCCCCCCCTCCTATGTGCCCTTCTGGGTTTCTTCTTTGGCCCCCTGTATCTCCAACTACATATTGTTTGTAATCTCTGTCTACACTGTATCTGAACTAGTCCTTTTCTTTGTTTCTATTTTTTTTTCTGTATATGTGTTTGTCTGCAATAAAAAGTAAAAAAAAAAAAAAAACATTTTTATTTATTTTTTTTTTTTTAATTGCGCGATAAAAAAAATGACGCCGTTAATATTTATTTGCGTTAACGCGTTAATAACGCAATATTTTGGACAGCACTAGTAGTAACAAATGGTGTTCTCTGCAAACTGCACCAGTGAAAGAGGCTGACATAGAGCCCTGGACTCACTTCATTAAATATTTGCAGTGTTGAAACCACAGATGTACTTACAGAAAACACTAATGGCACTTTTAGTGCTGCGCATCACATTACGATGGGTGCAAACATTCAACGAAATAAGTGATCGACTCCCACTGATGTCTGCTGTCGTTGTGTCCTTGGGCAAGACACTTAACCCCACTTTGCCTGAATCCCCGCTGAAAAATCAAGGCAGCTCAGACTAGAGTCCTTCTGTGGACTCACCACCTGCAGGAGGATCAGTGAGGGGCTGGTGCAATGTGTACTGGGTGCAGCTCTGACTGCCACCTCCCCAACCCAGAAATGGATAAATGGGAAGAAAATGGATGGTTGGATGAATGGAAGTGATTATCTTAAATGTGTTTTTTTTTAATACTATAATTACATCTGAACTTGAGTTGCCGGTACCTGAACCTGCACTAACAAGTGACTGCGGCTGACGCTGCACTGATCAATGATTGGTGCTGGAACTCATATATGTTTTTATGCTTCTCAGATTTAGATGGAACATATTACAGTGACCTCCCAGCACTAAAAATGTTGACACATCCTTCTCTTTAGAAATCCGGCAACAATGAACCTTTTCAGGAGAGACGCCATGAGCTCCAAGAAGGAGAAGATCGTCCAGTATGAAGACCCTCCGGATGGGGGCTGGGGGTGGCTTGTTGTGTTGCACTGTTTCCTGGTCTGTAAACACTTTGTGTCCTAATTTCACTTTCAAATTGTCAAATACTATTTTCCTTAAAGTGTATTTCTTCTTCCAAATTAAGGTGAATGTCCTTGTTATGGGAACACTGAAGAGTTTTGGCATTTTCTTTGTGGCTTTTCAAGATGAGTTTGGGGGCTCAGCAGAGAGCATAAGTTGGATTGGCTCAATCATGTCCAGCCTTCGACTGTCCGGAGGTAGTCTTCATTTTTCATTAACCCTACAGTTTTTTTATATATTATATATATATAAATATATTAAAAAAAAAATATATATATATGAAATAATATATTTTGTGTTGTGTGTTAAATGTGTTGATAACAATGATTCATGATGATCCTATATTCCCCTCAGCACCAATTGCCTCAGTTGCCTGTGCCAAAGTGGGCACCAGGGTGACTTCCATCACTGGAGCTTTTCTGGTTAGTGGGGGCTTCCTCTTGAGCATTTTTGCCAACAGTGTTGTCTACCTCTATGTCAGCATGGGCGTTGTAGTAGGTGAGTTAATTACAAATATATATTAAATTGTCCCCTAGCATGCTGCAATAATAATGCTTTTACTTTTTTTTACTTAGGAATGGGCTTTGCACTGTTATACCAGTCCTTCTCAGTGGTCACAGCCATGTACTTCAAGAAGCGGCTGGCGACAGCATACGCTATCGGCAGATCTGGGATGGGTCTGACATTTGCCTTAGCCCCTTTCACACAGCTGCTTTTGGACCAGTACGCATGGCAAGGTACGACGTCTCTGATGGCCTGATGATGAGGGAGGAATGTTGTGTCTAAGCTCTGTGTCTCACAGGGGCCTTGCTGATTCTTGGGGGTCTGATGCTGAACCTGGTGGCCACAGGGATGTTGCTGAGACCCATTAAGATTAAGTCAGTAGCCCACTCCACTTCAGTGCAGAAGAGTCCCTCCCTTTCCCTTCGTGGAGCCCCTGAAAAAGACTCTAAAACCTGTGTGAACGGATCCTTATCCAATGGGCTGTCCTCTAACGAGATCTGTTCCAACGGGATCTCTCCAAACGGGATCTCCCCAAACGGGATCTCCCCAAACGGGATCTCCCCAAATGGGATCTCCCCAAACAGGATCTCCCCAAATGGGATCTCCCCAAACGGGATCTCTCCCAATGGGATCTCTAAATGCCCCCTATCATTGCCCTGTTCCACCCCAGACTGTATTCAGAAGCAGAGCACTCAGGATCATGCAAACGCTGAGATGAACCCACTTGTTCTTAATGGAGTGAATGGCCTTGAGAGTCACCATGAGAAGTGCTCTCCACCAAACTCCTCTGAACTCAACGGGAGCCTGAATGGATCCACAGTAGTAGGATTGTCTTCACATGTCAGTACACCCACCGAGGTACCTGTCAAAGAGGCCAAAGTGCTGGACTGGTCATTGTTAAAAGACCCTTTCTTTTGCATCTATACCTGGTCCTTAATCTTCAGTCAGCTGGCCTATTTCATCCCATATTTTCACTTATCAGCCCGCGCCAGGAACCTGGGCATCGACGCCATGGATGCGTCCTTCATCATCTCTGTGGCAGGTGAGCATTGTCTTTACAGATACTTGTGCACAGTATCTTCATCTCTGTTAAGTTAAGGCTTCAGTGTTTAGTACATCTCACATCCATAGATTCTGGCACAGGCACCTGTGTATACAGCGGGACAGAGGGAGATTCTTACTTCCCCTAGACTGACGACCGTGCAAAAACTCCTCAACTTTGAAGGCATTAATAATTAGTGAGCTGCTCAGACTGCAGTCTTCTTATGTAATGAATGTGCTGCTTACATAAAAGCTGAACTTTGGTCCACTGGTCAGAGCTGATGAGTTCAACTGTGTGCCACTGATGAGGCCCCACAATGTGAACAGAAAACATTTGTGATCATTGACCACATGTGCATGCAGCGTGTGCCATGCAAATGTATGAAGATGTGCAAGAACTCTGGCATAATTCATTAGTTGTCAATTTGTAAATAATTTACCTATAGTCTATATAAAATGTGTTTCATGGCTCATTAACTTTTTCTCTTTTCTTATTTTAACAAAGATCATAGTTTCATTATTAATTCATTTATTTCAAGAAAAAGTGTGTCTTGCGAATGTATTCAAACTATTTTTGAACAAATTTTGCCACCAGAAGTTGCCTGGTGATTGAATGGTCATCAAACTATTTAGTAGAGTCTAGATGTGCATAAGGTCTAATCTCAGTATGATTACAGCTGATCAGTGAAGTCAGGGAGCGGTGGAGTGGTCCACATGTGAAAGAAAGTGTAATGGTCAGATAAAATCAAAGTTAATTTAACCATAAATGTAAAACATTACATGTGGGGTAAACTAACTCACACCATCCACGCTCAAATCTGGTGGTGGCAGCATCATGCTGTGGGGTTGCCCTTCTTCAGCAGGGACAGAGAAGATTTGATGGGAATCTAAATAGAGGAAAAATAGAAAACAATCTTGGAAGAAAAACTGTTGCCGTTCTATCAACTGAGAAAATGTAGCCATATCTAAAAACTGCTGTTGACAAACCATGGTAAAGAATAATTAGCAAGTCTCTGGAAAGCATATATAAGACATATCTTAAGAGACTTGATCCTGTTTCACATTCACTAATTCAAACACTTTTAGCCTTAATATGAGATTAGTTCACACATTTTAGGTTATAATATGTTTTGCGTATAATTTTCATAGAACATTATCAAAACCGTTGCATTATAGTAATGAAGTACCTTCATGAGATTTTTTAATCAACCAATGAGGCTAATCTGGTTTTAATTCAGATATGTTGTTGTTGCCATGTGACTGAGACAGAGCTATAGACACAGGGGGCACCTCAAGCACAAAAACGTTCTCCGTATCCCGTGGTGACCAAGCGTCCCCTCTCCCTTTGGGGCAGCTCTGATTATGGGGCCCATTGACTGAGCTGCTGGTGCTATCGTCTGGGCGGCCTCTTCCCAAACCCACATCCACCCACTGTGAAGCCACCACTGTTTCTAAGCAACCAGCCTCGGGCAGTTCAGTGGAGTAGTGGCTGTGTATCAAGATCAAAATGATCATTGGACTTATTCCTTTTGTTAATTAATTAGTATGTTATTGTCAATAATTTGTCACATAATCAATTACCTATGATTGATGGACCCGAACTTAATAATTACAAATGATGCACCAAACTTTTATAGCGCATTTTGAACTCTCAAAGGCCCTTTACTAAACACATAGGAAATGCAACATGGAACAACTGGGTTTTAAATAGTGATTTGGAGTTTTGAAGTGAATCCAGGTTACTGATGCTTCCAGAACTAGGAGTGAGTTCTGGAGGCAGCTGTGGCGAAGGCTCTGACCTCCTCGTCCCCAAACCTCATCGCTTAGCTAGCTTCCTAGTTTTGTGCTGAAATATCTAGTATAGTCGGTACTTGAATTGTGTGTACATATTTGCATACTGTCCTTGCCTCCTTGACCTGTAACCGCCTTTTTAAACGGCGAGGCACTTGGGCAGGTTTGCCGGGGACAGCTGCAGACACGGATGAACCTGCTGAGTTTAAGCACATAAACAGATTGTATTGAGACACCACAGGCCACAGCCCGCAGGTCGGGCCTGGAGCAAGGACAAACACTGTACAGCTGCCTCAGCCGTGCGTCCCAAAGGCTTCTGCATTACATAAGGTAGAGATGCTGAGCAGACCATTGTGGGACATTATTTCAACTTGTATAGCCATTAGAAAAAGAGAGATTATTGATTATAAACATTTGTGTGAGGCTACATTTCCTTTCATAAATTTCATACTGAAAATGTAAATATTGTTGAATTAGAATCGTAGTTACAGCAGTAAGTACGTGAAATGAGCTGTGGTACATTCATGGTTAATTAATACTTACCTTAGAGCAAGTCACAAAAGGGCACTCCGCCAGTCTTCTCTGGGTTACTGCAGTGTCTAAATTTAGCTTATCCTTCTGTGTTTTGGTGCAAAGGGTGAAGGTATGGGTAACACAGGTCTGCCTAGAACCAGTTTGTTTCATTGATCTGGGGATCTGTGTTGCATGCCTGGAGCTATTCCTGCAGCAGTCAATAAGGCGCTGCAGTTTCCGCATTGCCTCTCACGTTCCCGTTGACCTCAGCAGAGAAAGCAGCATGTATAGTGCCTGCCCTGTCATCTTACTGCAGTGGACATAAGACACATACCAGGGAGGTTCTTCAGGCTCGACCTGTTTCACATATGAAGAGGAAGAGCCAGAAAGAGTCATGTGCATCCTCCAAGTCTCCTGCATAAGGGCATTGTCCACTTGACCCTTTTACTGATTTTAAATCATATATTTTGTTACCAATTTTGTATGCATCATATACATTTCATAACAAATGAAAAACAATTAAATTCAATTCCCTTTATTCTTACACAGTCCTGAATCGCAACAATTATTTCTGAGGTCTTTGCAAAACCGTCAAATTCCCCAACACACAATCAAACAGTTCAAACACAGGACATGCAAAGATAAAAAGACAAAGAGCCATCTGGAATAGAGAACACGGACACAAACTTGCGAAAAATATTTATTCATTTGTTTGTTTGACACCCTTGGCCCCAGCTCCAGCCCTTTGTCTGAAGATCATTCCTGGTGTGCTGTTTATAATTCCCCGGGACCTACAGTAAGTACTGGTGGTGCCATAAGGGAGAAATTGTGATGAGAGCGAGTGCAAGAAGGTTGGGGAGGAGGCGGGGAGGTGGTGGTGGCGGGGCGTGAGTAGACAAAAGTGACACCAGAACGAACTCCTTGCGTGGCTGGAAAAGGGTTAGTTGGTAGGTTTCCGCTTTTAAACAGCTGGCTTATATAGGAGGATTATCCAGAATTTACGGAAAGAACCGCCCTCCTCAAAGGCAACATCTGTTAAAACGTGTCTTGGATATGACTGACAATTAGTAGGACCAATAGTTTAGAGCAGTGTCTCCCAAAGTGGGGTCCGCGGCCCCCTGGTGGGCCGCGAGGGTACTGCAGGGGGGCCGCGGGAGGTCATAAAAAAATATATATATATATATATAATTATTTAATGTTAAAATTATAATGTTTTGTTTGTAATATTAAAATATTTGTGTTCATTATTTGACTTGAATAATCCACTGTAATCATTTTTGTATTACAATGTTTGTAGCAGAGGCTATTTCCCCAAAATAAAATAACCAGAAGAGCCTATTCTTAATGTTGTCTTCTTGGTTATTATTTTGGGGGGCCACGCAGACCCGTCAGATTTTTAAGGGGGCCTCGGTGTTACTGAGTTTGGGAATGGCTGGTTTAGAGGATCCACCCAGAAGAAGAAAATCCTCCCATGCTGTATGATGGTTTAGGGCTAGGGTGAAAGGGGCCGGCTTGGATGGGCGACAGCAGGTAGCCTACCAGACTGAATTTCCACAGGCTATATTAGTCCATAAGGAACACATGACTAATGTCCATAAATGTTGATAAATGTCAACATCACCACTGTCATCGGCAAAGAAACAAATATACACAAGTCCATAGCTGAATACATCTGCACACAAATAATATTAAACTCATAGAAGTGAATGATAATTTACCCTGTTCCTGAGAACGATAGTACTTCCTTTGACATTACTGATGATAAACAACCTGATCCAGTGGCTGTGAGATAGTGAAGGAGGGGGCTTCCACTGGGTAGCGTCTATCTCCTGTTGCAGCCATTAGGTCAGCCAAAAAAACTTGATAGTCTTATATAGTTTAAGCACATAATTCTTGTGAACAATGTTCAACTGATGGTGAGGTTCTGTGATGAGCAATACACAGAGTTACTGGTTTAAAAAGTGTAAATACAGAAGACTAGCTCAGTAATGATTATCTGCGGATCACAAAAGACCATATTTGATTTGAGAAAGTTTAGCATATACACAGATTTGATTAACTAAATCAATCAAATCAAATCAAATTCTAATTATTCTCATTTGTGGAACAAATTTGAACAATCGAATTTTGTCTTTTGTTTATTTATCTTAAAAGTATCCTTTCATGGAACTGCTGTCCTCTTCATAAGGATTTTATGTTCAATTACCATAATATATCTATGTCCCTGGACATAAGGCCTACAAGTACAAATCATATTTGGCATTTCCTGATCAAAATGTTAATGCTGATTTATAGCATTGGAAATGATGGCCAGATTACAGATGCAGACAAGATATTGGTAACAAAGGTTTACATAGGAACAAAAATCAACATCCTGTTTATTTTAGCTCTGATATCCCTCATTGGAACACAGATCATTATGATTACAAGGAAGGCATTATTGGTCTACTATTTGTTAAACTCAAGTCACATTTCTAAATTATAAATGTGGTTTTGGATTATTAAATGAAAGAACCTTTATTTAAAGATGAGATGCTCCCAGTTTTTGGGCCATCCAAACTCCATTACCAGAGCAGCCTCCTGTAACTCTCTGAATATTTCATAGTGTTCGCTCCCACTGTGACTTCAGAGCCGTCCTGCTGCATTTACACAACAACCTTCAGACCAATACAGCTGTGAACTCTTTACTTTCAGCATCTGTTATGATCTGAACCTAATCAACATGAAGAGCTACAAATTGTACAAAAAACAAAACACTGACTAAAAAGCCACCCTGGGTTAGGTTTGGCACATTTTAAAGGTAAGAATATAATTAAATCAGAATCAACTTATATGCAAGAAAATCTACATTATCTAAAAATAGCTATATCAAACCGACAACAGTCCATGTTTGTATGATGAGACCTTTTGCCTCTTATTCAGTAATATCTTCTCCCAAAGAAAAGGAACAGGTTTTTTTCAGTAATGCCAAAGGGGTCATTGATGGTTGACTCCTGGTTTCATAAAGAGCCTGAAGAACACGGCTCACAGAGCGGACCACCCAGTTCATTCTCTCCTTTCTTTGGCTGTGATGCTGCCACACCAAAGAACCAACAAGAAGAGGTCCTACGGCGCAACATTATGTTTTTGTAAATACTATATAGTTTCTGCTGAACAAAGTCAAAATTTCTGTTTAATCAGTAATTATTCAAAAACAGATGAATAGATTTTCTTTATGATTACCAAAAACACTGCTACTTTGAACAATTAAGTCAACTTTGATAGTGAAATTCTGTGCTTTGGTTTATGACATTGCATTGCCAGAAAGTTGAATATTGTTGAATACTGTAAATACATTTATGGATTTAAACTTAATTTGAATTAATTTAAACTTTACGCAAACACCTGCAGCTGTCTCAGTGGTTCTTTGTTTTTGTATCGGTGGTCAATTAACTGAGAAGGTGTCTTGTGATAGTTAAGACGAGCGCACGTTTTGTTTATTTACCAATCTTTTTCCAATCAATTTGACAATATTGGCATGAGCATTACATGTATTATATTACAGGCCGAGTTCTAATCCTGCTTGAAGCTTGATAAAGGTCAGCGAATGTCCTCTAAATGTCTTTAACTTCATCATTATCATCATCGCGCAGTGACATGAACATATAGAGACTCTACATCTCTGATCTTTCTAGAGCTGTGTGTTTTGCAGGGATCACAGAGACCATAGCTCAGTTGGCCTCAGGTTGGATTGCTGACCAAAACCTGTTCCACAAGTACCACTACCACAAGGCCTACCTGATCCTGTGCGGGCTTGTCAACCTTCTGTCTCCCCTGGCAACCTCCTACATCCTGCTCATGGTGTACGCGGTCTTCTTTGCCATCTTCTGCGGTGGCTACATGGCGCTGCTGCTGCCCGTTCTGGTATGCCTCACTTTTATGTAGAAAAGAAAACTAGAACACATACTAGACCAGTGGAACCAGGGTAAGAGTTGGGAGTACACTGATTGTCCAAGAATTGAAATGATGAGGCATGAAGCAGGAGTTCTAGCATAGGAGGATTGTGTTGTTCCATCAGTTTTTCTCCTGTATTGTATAAAGTGATCTTGTTGTACAATTAGATTTTTATTTATTTTTTCAATTAAGAACCAAACATTATAACTGGTATGACAAAAACATATTTTTGTTGCCAAACTTTTTAACTGTCTGTGCGTAATATGTAACCCAATCACAGTGGGTACCTGACTGAGTGAAAAGCGTAATTGCGCACTGCTCTGTGATGGTTCCTTTGCCAATGATTAGGGCTGGTTTGGGTCCAGGCTTCATGCACTCTGCTCATTGAGGTTCTATCTGCATCTCGTCCTTCAGTCTGGTGTTGTCTTTCACTATGTGTGTCAAAGTTGAGACTGACTCTAGTTGGTCTGCTGCCACGTCTTAAAATCCATTCCACGTCTGTCAGGCTACGTCAGGTCACACTGAAGCAGGATCACACCACAAACTATGGATGTATTTTAGTACTGCAGAAAGATCCTTGCAGATTTATCTATCACCTATTCACACCATGTCTGTTTAAGGCATTGAGCATGACCAAATTATGTGAAAAAATAAACAAGAAATGTACAGTATACTGTTCGTTTGGACTGTGCAAAAAGTGGAATTGACGATCTGATCTTTCCTCAATCTCAAGTATTGATGTGCATTAAACCAGAGGGATGCCAGCCATGTGACTGAAGAGGAGAACTTGTGGTTCTTCTTTACCAATATGCATTTGCCTTTCACAGTGTTTGGCTTTAATATACTCGATTCAATGTGATAAGGGATTCCTTTTGCTGTTGCTAAAGTATATATTTCAGTAAAATTTTAATAACATCACAAATCAATATGAGGAAGAAGTTTTCCCTCCTCCTAGACTTGGAACCCTTCTGCAACTAGAAATAATTAGAAATGTTTAAATGTTATTTTAAATGTACTGAAGGAGGACACGCAGAAGCAAAGAAGTGTAATCCTGTAGTGAAATCAAAGACAGTTTATATTAAATACAACATAAACATGAAATGTAGTCAATATTATGTCTGACTGATGAAAAATCACAGATTTGAGCATAAAACTGAGGACAGTGGCACAAGGCAGCACAACCGATTGATTCACCATTGATTACCTCTCGGACCGACCACAGTACGTACGGCTGCGCAGCTGTGAGTCTGAGGTGGTAGTCTACAGTACTGGGGCCCCTCAGGGCACTGTCCTATTACCGTTTCTCTTCAGCATCTTCAGCAGTGGAAGACTGAGACACCCTCAGTGCAAGAAGCAGCGCTACCGCAGGGCCTTCATCCCCACCGCTGTCAGACTGTACAATAAGTCACTTGTGACCTGCACTAAGACTGAAAAAAACCATCAACAATGTCCAACTATCAAAACAATCATGCATACACAAAACAAAACTAGACATTTCTATTTAGTTTTATTAATCCTAATACCTTTGAAGCAGGAGTCTGAGGATAATTGCTTCACATCAATCAAATCAAATAAAAAGGCATAAGGGTATGGGAGACACAAGGGAAAGTGAAATGAAACAGAAAGTGAATAAAGCAAAAGGGGTACGACAATGCCTACACACACCTACTGTATACCTGTGTAAAGAGGGTGTAGCACGGTATACAGAACATCTTAAACACATTCAAGCCGGAGAAGATATTTCCAGCTGTAATCCCAATCTCCTGTCAGTCATCCGACCCATGCCATTACCTCAGTGTTTATTTCCAGAGCACTTCCATAAGGTGCGGTGGTTATTTTGGGTGTGCGTGTGGTGGGACTCAGGTGAGCAGCTGTCATGACCTCACACGACAGAGAGAGAAAGGAATCCTCTGAGCAGACCATTGTGGAGCCTCACCAACATCCGTTAATGGGTGGGACTGCCTATTACTTCAGCGCATATCCAGTGTCTTGAGGTCATCTCCCACAGACAAACAGCGTCTGCGGATCTCAAAGGTTGGGACGTGCCTCTGGGTTTAACGGCGATGGAGCGGTCCTGGATTTTCAGCTGGACAAACCAGATCCAGCCAGTATGACGCACAGGGCACAGATGAACCCTTTCACAAACACAAACGAGTGACATCATGTCGGATCACGGCAGACAGAAACATGTCGAATTGGGGTTTAATCTTGTATTAAAGGCAGCAATAAAAACACAACACCTGTAAAGTGGTGGAAAGTAACTTTAGCACTAGTAGGGCTCCAGATTATTCTTCATCAAAACTGCCTTCAAATTGTTCACATTTCTTAAAATTGTAGAACGAAATCTTGTTAAAGTAAAATTATGTGAAAACAGACCACAACATATTTATCTATCCGATTAGAATACTTAGTTATAATACTTATCTTTCGCTAACTTGTAAAAAGAGGCCTGTGAGTCACTATTTAACGATTCGGGTTGAGAGCTCATTTTCACTTTTTTGTCTGAAATAGGATTTAAAGATGTGACAGAGCAGTTAAATGAGATTGAAGGTTGATGGCCAAGTAGACGTGCACTGGTGGACACTGAAGGCCGAGTACTCTGCACTGCTGTTTGGCCCGTGGCTGACACGACAGTGAGAGACTTGTCCCCCACCCGGAGGGACGCAACCCTCTCATTCACTGTGGCGATGACTATGGCCACACCCACTCGACACCTCCCTCCGCGCGTCCATCCCGTCTCAAGCTGTGTGTGGAGGTGAGATCGTCCAGCCATGGGTAGGCCCACATCGTCCATCCGAGATTAGCCCAGGCGGGCCCCATGGGCAAAGGCCCACCCACCAGAAATTCACTAAAAGCCCTAACCCCAGGCCTTGGTCCAGTGTGGAGCCCCGACTGCGCCATACCGGGGAATCTTACAGTTCTCAATATTGTGCGTTCCATGGTGGTTTTCGGACTGCGCTTTGTCTAACTTGTCATCCAAGACCAGTTTGCCATGGCAGGCCCTACCAGGGGCATAAAGCCCAGACCTCATAGCTCCCAGGATCATCCCAGTGCTAAAAGCCCCCAATACGTCCAGGGGGGAGAACCCTAAACGCAATAAGCAACAATTCAAAGTAAAAATATTATAAAAATAATATTTTGCCTTTGGTCCAGTTTGGTTTAAATCCAAGCAATAAAAAAGAGGATGAATTGCCCTACGGGCATCAATAAAGTGCACCTTTACCTTTATTCAATGAAAGTGATTATTTGGTCAAAATACTTACAGATGCAAATGATGAGCTACAAACAAACTTGATGTGTTGGTTTCCTTGTCTTTTTGCCCCTCTGTTCTACAAGCAAAAACATCTACTTTTTAACACTATTGTTGAGAAGATGGCACAGTTTGAAAAATATGGGTATTTGTATAAATCCTGGTGTTAAATTGTGAAGTAAATGGCTTGGACAGTTTTAGTGGCTTAATTCTGTAATTGCACATGCATAAATCTGTTTGTTGCAATGTTCATATGTTCACATTAAAATTGGCATGATCTTTTTTACTTTTTTTGTGGACTGTCAAAATTATTACACTAAAAGTTGCACATTGCAGCTTCAGAATAATAATAAATGCATTTTTGTATGATGGTTGAAATAGACATTGGTTTGTGCCCTGCAGGTGGACCTTGTGGGTGCGGAAAAACTCAATAACTCCATGGGCTTCTCCATGTTCTTTGTTGGACTGGGATGTCTTACAGGGCCTCCTTTAGCTGGTAAGTGATATGTCATCCATTATGAAATGATATGTGAATGCACATAGTTGCAGGTAGCGTATTTCTAATGATAGTAGCTATTCCTTTTTTCTCTCAATTAATTCAGAAGAACCAACCATGCTTGCATTTAAAACAGCAGCTGAAAGTGATTCTGTTGGGTTTTACATTGGAATCTGTAGTCTGAAACATTTGTGTATAAGAAAAGTTTGGGATAAGAAAAAAAAAATAGTTCCCCTTAAAGAAGCAATACATAAAAATCTGGCCAAAAGTGGTACTGCAATCACAGCTTATTTGGCTCCCGCTCTAACCACGCTCTCTCTCCGCTCTGATCAGCAGCTCTGATTGGTCACAGTGTGGTTGAGCCCCTCTGTGCACGGCCATAAGAGACACAAACTCGTATTTGGCGCAACGCATCATGTGAGCTCGTCCACTGCGCAGAACCAGGAACCAGACGATGCCCAAATATGGGCGAGTTCCTCTAATCTTTTGCTTAAAGTCACATGCTATCAAATGGAAATGTAATGGGTGAATATTTTGGCCATATGTCCAATGTATTTTGGGAAGACAACACCTATCAAATGAACCAAAGCAAAAAGAACCACCGGTTGAGGAATGCACATTTCAGCCTTGTGTCATAGCATTTCTGAATAACTTTATGGAAAAAATCTGCAGACAGGAGAAAAACAAGCATATTTATAGCTGCCTTCAACACCAGCTGGAATTTTGCAACTTTAATGTTAAGGTGCGCAGAGGTCATTGGGTCAAATTTGGATCTTTGCCGATGAGCAAGTGAAGCCAGATTCAGGGTTGTGCCCCTTCTTGCAAGCCCCAGCATCAAATGTAGGGCTGTGTGAGACAAACCTGACTCAAAGGATCACTCATTTACTGTAATGGAATGCAGCACTGCTAGAACCTGTGGATCAACTACACAAGTTGCTACGAGTTCATCTTGAAGTGGGTTACACACTTTTGAAAGCTTTTACAGATTGTGTTGTGGTTCTGTCTGAGAGACATAACTGCTGTAAGAGACTTATTTGTTCACTGTTTTTATCAGAACTCAAGGTCATGTTCAATGGCCTTTTTTGCACAGCCCTCTGTAGGCATTTCACCTTTCCTCAGAAACATTTGGACCCACTTAACATATTTGTGGTTACTTGGGGCTCCCCTGAACCTCTAGGTGCATTTTGACAGTATTTCTTTGAGTAGAGGATTTTTGAAAAGTAACCAAGTAGCCTCTTTGGACTACTCTGGTTTGTTTACGTTCTCTGCTGCTTTAGTGTAAAAACACAAGGTGAAGAAAGTTGGACAGGGCAGATTACAAAAGTCTGTGCTCGAAAGTCACCAGCTGTCAGAAACTCTATAATAATAAAAAATATGTATGTATGTCCATGTTTGGTCTAGTCCTACAGAACAAACATGAGCATTAGTAATAATTATCTTACAATTATTATTATTCAATGCTAAATAACTAAATTCAAACATTTATTTAATTATGTTCATGGAGTGGGAGTCGACAAGTTTTTACTTTCCCACACTGATATATTGCAAATAGAAATACATTTGTAATACATATTGAACTTGTAAAAATACCAACACATGATAAAACTATGACAAACACTGTTGCATGTACTGTATGTATGTTTATATATTTGCATGTGGAAGTAGATATTGTAAGTGCAGTAGGCAACATAACAATGTAGAAAAGGTCCCTCCATTTATAATAATGATGTCTGTACATGTGATAGTAGCCCATATTAACCGCTTTCAATCAAATCAATTGAAAATTATTTCAGTACTCCCTGTAAAATCCTCTTTTACCCCTAGGGGTCTGCGTACCTCCAGTTGGGAGACACTGCAGATCTTCAGAAGTTATGATGACCTGACACCACTATTCTTTTCCATGTTCTTGTGTCTTTCTTGTGTTACTATGGGCCCATCATTAATATTTCTTATCTGAGTCATTGTCATAAAGCGTTGGTTGTAGCAACATAAGAACAGAAGGTGATGTCTCACTGCATAGGTCGCTGTTCATAGCAGGTTGCGGAGTTCACTTTGTGTCTGGTTTTCTCAATGTATGAATAAGCCTTTACTCAAATTGAGTTCAATGATTGTTTAGAACACAAGTGTTGCCGGTGTGATTATGGACCTTGTAACAGGATAACAGATTAGAACAAGTAAAACATTTTCAGACATGACTTATTTGTGTGAAAACAATAATTATGCAATAAAAGTTTGGTCTATAATTGTAATTCAATATTCTTGTACCCTAATGCACCTATACTGTATCTCGCAGGCTTCCTGTATGATTACACCCAGACTTACGACTGTTCCTTCTACCTGGCCGGCCTGTGCTACCTGCTCTCCTCCGTGTCCCTCTTCCTGGAGCCTCTAGCTCAGCGCTGGAAGGGCCCGAAGAGAAGAATCCAGTCCCCAAAACCTGAGAGTAGCAGCTGCAAAACCAACGGCTGCTTCACCCCAGACCGCTCACAGAACGGAGCCAACGGAGTCGTGTGAACCAGCAGGGGAGGCCTTTGATTTGGACCAGCTCCGCCCTTCTCTTCGGACTGAAGACTTTACAACGTGGCTCCGTTGTAGCTTTACTGAGGTCTAGAACTGAGGTCATGCTCAGACTTAACACAAGCTGGCTGGATGACTGTTACAAATAAAAGGCAAAATTCAACATACTCTTGAAGCCAAATATTTTGCCCGAATCTCAATGAACGACACACATTTAGATAATTTTTCCTAAAGGCACATGTTCTAAAACTGCACTTTGCATCAGTACAATGTGACTGAAACAACAGAGCTGCAAGTTTATAGTATTAGCACACATAGTACTGCTGATAACTAGCTATGCATACGTATAACCTCAGATAGCACAGATTTTTTAACTCCTCACTTGATTTTTAGAAAGCCTGTGCTTATAGACATGCACTTTGGGCCAACTCTGACATGCTGCATGCTCTATCACTCTTGAAGTGAAGATAGTGAAAGTGGTAATCAGACGCAATAGTCTCCACACATTTGAAATGAATATGTTAAAGATGAAAACCTCAATTATATCATCAGATATTGAGGTTGCCTTTAGAAGATTGCCTGAAAACAGTTGCTTTACACAACTGTTGGTACATTATCGCCTGTGACTTTGATATGAGGATCGTTTAGGCCAGAGGCCAATACCAGCCATTATGTTTATTCTTTTTGCAATGAACTATTTTGATTTGGTGAATCTGATCAAGTTTTTTTTTGTGAATTGTGTTCTTTACGGTGCTCTTACAGGAGTTATAGGTGAATTGTTGCACAGCCTCCTCAGTGCCTGCATGCAGCCAGTTACTGGCTACTCAACTCATAACATGTTTTATGTTATACTTCTTTGTTGTGAACTTTTTAAGTCGCCACTATTTGCCTTAAAAGATACTGAAGTGTACCTTTTTATACTGTGACGTCAGCCAAAGACATTTTGCGTTCACCGTCATCCACTTTATCTGAAGATGTCAAGTGTCAAGAATGTGATTCCTTTTCACCATGAGCATCCTCACAGGTCCAGTATCAGGTGAACAGTTTTGCTGCAGCGCCCTCTTGTGGCCTTAACCGGTTTGTACATAAAGAATGCCGTTTCAATTAGCAGCACATTAATTCCCCTCAGCTCACCTGCACAATACTGACTGAGTTCTTTGTACTGTTCTCATAACAGTCCTGCACAAAGGGCCATTGGATCATGGATTGTATCAGTTTATTAAATCCAAGGGCCACTAAATATTTTGTACCAGAGAACATTTATGAAACTATTTTGAGGCTTTAAAAGTGGTCTTTATGTTAGTTTACTTCATAGGAAAGGGGCTTTTTGAGATGGATCTGTCATGTTCTGCTGCTGAAGTTACAGTTCCGGGCTGAGCAATATTTAGAAATATTTAGAGATTATTGTTCCCGTAGAGTTTAAATAATAATGCATTATGATATAATAAAATGGACTTTCTAATTTTTCATCTGTTTTCAGTACTTTTTGTCTCGTTAATAATGAGATCGTACACATCTTGAATATTTGCCTTTTTATTGGCACAAAAGAACATCATACACTTTAATACAATCAATATGAGTTTAAGACCAATAAAAGATTATTACTTACATTGAGGGGAGCAGGTGCCTCCAGGAATGAGTCCACATCTGAGAAAGATAAAAAAGTTTCAAGTGAACTTATTATTATTGCCTGACTGCATTCACAGTGAAAAGTATTAATGCGAGTAAATGCACTGAAATACAGAGGTGGCAAGTAGGATCCTTTAGTATCCTTTTTACGTCCCAGAGTGGGGAGATTTCAATATTGCAGCGCACATACAGGACAAGTAACTACGTATTTTTACTGGTGTCACTACTTTCTCAACTTATTGTTCTGGCCTTTTTTATTATTATTATTATTTCAAACCCAAACATGCAGCCGAATGGTTAAGTTCTGCTCATGTTTGTCATAATCTCTGCTGTGTGTTTAGAGGGCAATGCTTAGAACTTTATTATTCATCAAATATGCATTACTGTTTAGCACATACAAGCTTGTATGTATACTTTTACTTAAAGCTGGAGTATCTACCTTTATTTTCTTTTTTTAATAAATACATTTAGCTTTATTCCAACAGGAAATTCTTGCAAAAGGGAAATTCTGAGAACCAATCAGACGGTATAATGTCTGGTTATGTACACGATCAGACCATGTAGAGGTGTCCTCTCTTGATCACTTTTGTGTGTTAAAAAAGGTTTATGTAAAGATGTGCACAGGATAAGGATTACTTAGATGTGAAACTAAGAACCAAATTAGTTTTGAGTGTGAGGAACTAATTACATTGATTGCTTTACATAGTACTTTTTTTGCGGTTTAAAAGTGAGGTACCCGAGCTTTAAGTATGGGAGAAATTTCAGTGTTATTAGTAGAGATTATTTTTATAATAATATGTTTACCTTTACTTAAGTACCAAAGATAGTATATGGCCACTCTGCTAAAACATGGTCACGCAGCCACAGTATGCTACTTTCTGGAGCTGGGAAATCATCTGCATGATTCCATAGAAAGCGTTGTTATCATCATACTCCAGAATATTCACTGCAGAGAAGCTCAAAGCCACGTGTTTGAAGATTACAGTCATTAGAAGTCTTCCATAGGAACAAGCAGAAGACCCTCCAGGAATATGCAAATCTGTTTCCAATAAAGGAAATGAAAATGATAAATGTGTTTATTTATCCAATTAGCTTTGTTCCAAGGCTTTTTGAACATTTCAATATCTAGAAATGTATTTGTGTTAAAAGATGTCACTAATTATAACTTAAGTCTACATAATAACAAAATAGATTTAACCTGTATTTGTACTTTTAACAAATAATACTCTTTTTATAGGCTTGGATATGTAAGTGCAATTATGCTGGTGCATGTTTTTGTTCTCATTAAATGAGGATCAAATCCTTTTAAACTCAAACAAGCAAGACTATGATGGCCTGATTCTAAATCTTAGTACTGGGGTACCCAACTTTTTCTTTCATAAATTATATATGCAATTTGTTAAACTTGGACGGAAGAACTTGGTGAATCACTATTTGACTTTTTGGGCTCAGAGCTGATTAGCTGAGAAACCTTTTTGTCTGAAAAAGGTATTTATAATTCCTAAATTGTGTATAAACTTCCACCTTTGCTTCTGTGACCTGTCTTACTCCACCCCTCCGCTGTTCCACCTCTGCTGCTGTGGCCTGTCCAGATCGGTTTATTTGATCCATTTATTGATCTCCTACAGAGATCAATAAAGTATCTATCAATTTATCTATCTATAATCTAGAAAAACAAGAATTTATATATGTTCTTGTTTTTCTAGTTCAGTAATAAAAGACATGTTCTAGGGAAGAGGTATGGTAGTTTAAACATAAGATTCCACAGTGACATATTTTAACAACTGAACAATTGTAGAGAAGCTTATGCGTTAAGCCTCTTCATGTTTGCAAAGAGTCCACTAGGAACAGCAATAGTTGATATGGCTGTAAGAGTACGTACTCACTATAAACTGATGTATTATGCATAATTTGTGGTCTGTTTCTGTTGAGCACCAGTTTTAAATTATTATTCATTAGATTTTCCTGGAAATTGGGTGTCCATTAACATTGTATTGATGTTGCTAGAGCTAAATATATTTATTCACTGCCGACATCCGTACCATTATCTAAAATACTTAGTACATTGCCAATTTTTTCCATTTTAGACTAGTTATAATTTGTCTTACCTTAAATGGTACAAAGGGTTGTTGTACGCACACACAGACACACAACTCTTACAAACGTTGAAATGACTGTGGTCATCATTGAGGTCACCTGTATGTCCCTGGTTTTTCCATCATGTGTTTTTGACATGTGATACTTACCCAGCTGCCTGTGCCATCGATACAGACCTGGCCAGCAGCATGTTGCCTTGGTCCTCACCATGGCGACAGCTCTTTTGTCATCAGCCTGAGTGGAGCCAGTGGTCCTCAGCCCAGTGTAAAGCGATGTTTCCTCAGGACAACTACTGTCTTCACAACACTACAGTGTAGAAATGACCCCCAGCTATTTCCTGTGTAACTGGAACTAAACTACGAAAAATGGTCTGATGAAACGGGTTCTTGGAGAGGCAAGGTCCAGTGCATGGATTCCTCACAACAGTGTAAAAAAAAAATTCACGCTGCTTAGTTAAGGCTCTTCCATCCTGGAGCAGAAGTCAGGTGACAGACACAGCACCAGTTGCAGCTCCTAAAGGTCTGCTTACACTAAAGCAAATCACAGCAAAACCGTATTCCTATCTGGAGTCAGCGGCCAATCCTCTTCTCTGAGCTGTGCACAAGGTGAATCAGATCATCTGAGGAGCACAAAAACACTGGCTTCAAACCAAGACGAGCCGTTTCCAGCGTGGAATGGACCGGAGTGCGACCTGAAGCTGGTCACATGTGAGTGGCTCTGTCTCCACACGTGCTGCTGCTGCTCCTGCTTAGACTGGACACAGCAGCAAAGGCTTCTCCTGAAGCAGTACGTGGCACAGAACTGTTAAAGGTGTCAACGTAAATAATATGTGGATCTTAGCAGCTGGGGACAGGCCTGAAACAAAGCGATCCTCAAATCAACAGTGGTCTTGTGTTCTTTGTGGCTAATAAAACTGTCTCCCTTTTTCTGAGCAGAAACAAGTGAACACTCCTCGAAACACAATAAGGTATGGCAGCCTGTTTCTTCAATCACATCCATCGAAGAAACATGTTTCCTTCACATGAACAATTTATTGATAATGGGTCACATAAAGTGCCAGGAGTACTTGCAGAACAGCTGCAGGTCTATGAGGTTCCTTTCCCATGATCAAAAGGTACAGTGCTGACTTTCCCATTTAAACAGAGCTCAAGAGAGGTGTAGAGGGCCACACAGCTACAGCAGCCGGCAGAAGAAAACAAACACACACTTCCTCAGGAGTCCAGAGTGTTGCTGACGCGGCACAGGGACATTTTTTACATCAGTGTCTTTAGGAAAGATCAAATATAACACAGAAAACTCAAAAACCATGTCAGATTGTGATGCATGACGAGTAAAGATGTAACCAACCACTGACATGCCAGGCCCATTTAACATCTACATGCGGCCTTATTATATGAACATTAAATTAGACATCAAAATGTATCAAACAAAAAAATAAACAATATCTTTAAATATATGACTACAAATTATGATTATACTGACAGATAGCAGTGATTGGTTACATTGCAAACATTTTAGAGACTGAAATAGACTCAAAACCTGGAAAAAGGGGCTGTCACAATATGAACACACACTCCTCAGATGTGAATCAGTCACTATGTTTTTTTATCACACGCCAATCCGTGTCAGGAGTGGACTGGAACAGTATCACTTATCATTTTGTGTAGCGTTATAGTCTGTAACCTGGTCAAGGATTCCACGATCGAGTGTTACCAGGAGCCAGTGTCCGTCACCTATTTTCTTTGTGTTAATAAGCAAACATTAATTAGAACAAAAATAAAACATGAGAAACACTTTGACCGATACTGGAGAAATTGTAAAACTTTCTGTAATTTTTACTACACAACTCTATGGAACTTGATCTCATTTGATTTCAAAGACACACCCAAAAACACATTAAAACATGTCCCATATGAGCTATGAATTAATTTGTTTTTTGAATGATAACTTTCCCATGTGATGTTGTACTCTAAATATACAGACAATTAAGATTAGTGTTTCACGTTAAAAAATCTAAAATATTAGTTATTGAAACTCGAGAAAATCAGACTCGACCCTGCTGACACAGAGTATGGATTAGATCAATAAACATTCAAATTTGTTCTTCTGCTTTGACATTTTAACACACAATCTTGATGGAAATATAGTGTTGTGGCAACAAACAAGCACTGGAACCCATTCTAGTGTACCCCATACTGCAGAACACACAGCATGCAATAGTTAACAACTTCAAATCATGTGTTTAAGATGCTCCTCGAACCACAATCATGACTAAATAGTCCTCTTCACTTTTATACAAAGCTTTAGCAGAGGAATCCAGGAACTGCTTGGAGAAATCACAGGGAGGGAAAGCATGAAGGACCCCTGTGCTGTCCTTTTCTCTACTGCCCCCTACAGGTAGGCTGATGACTCCGGCAGCCTGCTTTTGGTTGAGGTAGGACACCAGGTTGCGAAGAGGCCGTTGAGTTGAAGCAGCATCAGAGGAGGACTCCTCCGTACTGCCGGGTACTGCTAACAGGATGGCGTATCCTCCGGGTCCGGCCACCTTGATCCGTCGGGAGACCTCGTCGAGTTTGGGCTGGTCTAGACGCAGGCGTTGGGTGATCTTCAGCTCGCTCACTGATCGTGAGGAGGCGTCCAGGAGCAGGTCAGTGGGCACTTTGCGGTCCCCCTCCAGGAGGTGCATGTGGGCAGGGAAGTGGCTGTTCTTGAGCAGCAGCATGCCGCTCCACACAGGGCTCTGTTTGTCCTGTTTGGAGCCGTCTGTGCGCTCCCGCTTGGCTGAGCTTTTGTTGCCTTCGCCAGATTTACGTTTACGTTCAACAGGAGCCGCACTGCTGGACTTATCAGAGAGGTTTTGGCTTTTGAGTCTGCGTTCGGTCCCGGCTCGCTCCAGAGTGCTGTGGTGCTCTCGAGCTGGAGAGAGTCTGTCAACCCGCAGAGGGCGCTCTGAGTCACTGAAGCGCTCTCCTTCTCTGCTGCTACTTCCAGGGCTGCCGTCTGGAGACACACGCCTGCGCCTTGCTGTCCTTTCAGTGTTGTTGGGAGAGTGGTCTAAGTGACGCCCGTCCTCCATGGCACGCCGCTTCCTGTTTTGTTCCCGGCTCTGCAACTCTCTCTCCAGGGACCAGGACTCCCGCACTCTCCTCTCTCGGTCCAAGTGGTCCAACGGTCTAAATGGTGAGGCTCTAACCCTTTCACGAAAAGCAGGGTTGGGCCAGTCATTGGCGGGAAAGAGCTCCCTTTCTCTGAAGTGGAGAGGCGGAGGAGTTCGTTCTCGGACCCTGAGAGGTTCTGCGGTGGCTCTGTGGACAAATGACTCCGCAACCATGTCAAACGGGGGAATAGGAAGAGGCTGCAAGAACGGCTGCTGGTAACGATGCTCATTTTCAGCAAAGTCTACTCTGAGTCTTCTGTCAGGACCCCCCAAAGGGAAGCCCCTCATATTTGTGCATGCGGCCTGTGCAGCATCTAAACTTTCATATTGGATATAGGCCCAAGAGTCGCCTTTTCTATAGTCTATTGTTCTTATGGTGCCAAAGCGATCAAACTCTCTGGCCAAGGCAGCTACAGGCACCCAGGATCCTAGTCCCCCCACCCAGAGGCGAGTGGAAGGGGTTGCTTTGCCATAGCCAATCTTTATGGGGTTGCGACCTACTATTTTGCCAGACATACTAAGCTTAGCATGATGGGCCATGTCAAGATTCTCAAATTTTAAAAATCCATATGTGCTAGTTTGTCCTCGACTGGGCCTCTTAATGTCCACTTCTGTAATGACCCCGAACCTGTCAAAGGCCCTCCTTATGTCTGGCTCTTTGATGGAAATGTCCAGGTTCCCTAAAAACAATGTCCTGTTGGCCCTTTGGTCATCCTCTGGAGATATTAAATCCTCTTCACGAAAAGCAGTTCTTTCTGGGACATATGCGGGGCGCCTGGCCTCAAACAGGGCGAACTCTGGCTCTCGGTCCAGTTCTCTGGGGAGGTGGGGCGGTGGTGGAGGGGGCAGGCGTCCCAGAGCCAGCTGCTGCAGGCGGTAGTCTCTGTAGCCGAGGCCTGTGGGGGACAGAGGCCTCTGCATGTGTCTGTGTACTGGGGCTGCTGCATACAGCTCTCTCTCCACGGGGGAGCGGGATCTCCGCCTGTTTATGTACACGGGCTCTATCTTCAGGGGCCGATCGTAAAGTACCAGACGTCCACGAGCGTGCTTAGCGGCGCGTGCGTCCTCTGGTTTTCTGAAATTTACAAAAGCTATGCGCTCATCGTTACTGCGGCTAATCTTAATGCTGACGTCTCCAAATTTGGTAAACTCGTGAAATAGTCCGTCTTCGATGTCCTCGTCGCTGAGCTGCGAGCCCAGATCACTGATTTTGAGAGTCTTGTACTCACTATCTGCGGCGGGCGCCTGGACGCGCGGTTCCCCCCGTGTGCTCAGGGCCAGGCTGTGGGCTTTGGCCACGGAGCTGGCGACCCCCGGGCAGCCGTGATTATTACCCACCCGGCTGTGGCCATCGAAGTCTCGGTCTCGTTTGTCTCCCATCAGACTTCTCCTTGTAGAGCCGTCAGCTTTAGTGGAGCTGGTGCCGTTATTGCTGCCGCCGGAGACCGACACGACCCCCATTTTCTTGCTGCTGAGACACGGTCCTCCCCGGTCTCGGATCTCTTCCAAGGCCCGAGAGCGCTTTTTCATCGGCGATCGCTCCTTTCCTTTCATTTCACTTCACTCGAACCTCGTCTTCTAACAATCAAAGGCGCAAGTCGTTCTTGAAAAGCTGTGCGGTTTCAAAAGGGGATTAAATTATTATTTTTTTCTCACTGAGCCAGCGGAAAAACAACAACAGTCGCCATTTTGTAACAAGTACTGAATAGTCCCACCCTTCTGCTCCGATTGGCTGAAATGAGGGAGGGGAGCATGAAGTGTCTGTCAATCATCAAGAAGAAGACTGGCATAATTTGCGAACATACTCAAAACAAATGATTGCCATTATACATAAAGTATATATATACTGCAGAGATAATAATATCACTTGAAACAAAAAAAATGGTTTCAAGTTTAAGACGTTCTCTTATTCTGTTTCAGCCATGTAGCCAGAAGATGGCAGTATTTTAACATAACTTGAAATAAATCAATTGGAGAACTAATGCAATAACGTGTTGATATTATTTTCATTAGTAGTATTGCTATTATCACAGTACATTTTAAAACATCTTCAGTCGTGAACACACTTTACATTTGGCATTGTCAGTGGTCAGGATTTCAATATGTTACAGTTGAGCATAAACTTATGTAGGTATACAAAATATAATACCAGTAAAGACCACGAAGTGGGTCTTGTGACTCTAATGAGGATCTAATAGTCACAGAAATGCAACAGCTCATCAGTGCACATCAAAACCAATGAACAATAAGATAACAACAATAAGATTTGTTCAGTTAAACAAATATGATTACTCCTGATGTAATGATCCTTTAGGGGATGAACACATTTTCTAGATTCAATTCATTTTGACCAAATTGATGTGTGTCTGAATCAGAGTGTGTTGTATTGCAATGTTATTTCTATTGGATTGTACATTACTGTATCCATGTATTTTATTGATGTAACCAGGGACTGCAGATGGAAACTAGCTGTTTAGCTAAATCTGGTGCAGAACATATCTGTCTTTGAGCTTAATGTCTCTGTACATTGTCCCTTCAAATAAAGACTAAACTAAACTAATGTAGATGGTATACTTGATTTATTCCACCTTTATTACCAGGTCGGGTGATAGAGAACAGATCCAGATAAGACACAAGACATCTACAATACAATAAAGATTGTGGGATACAATTTTGTGTGAATTAGGAATACAGTTTCTTCATGTGTGAGGTTGAAAGTAAACTTGAGATCCAACCTAAATTCATTTTGACATAGTGTGAGATTGAGACCATGTTTCTCTTGCTTCACTGGGTGTAAAGTTTGTTTTCTGTGACCACTGTTCTGCTGTTTCACTACTTCAAATAGAGCAATCCTTCAGCCCTTGATAATTACACTTGGGCTGGATAAATCTAACAAAGATCAAAGCTCTGACAGTGGCCAGTGGCAGCTCTGTGGTTTTAATGATCCTTAAATCATATTTGTGTCCAATGTTAGAGGAAGGCTTGAGTTTCCTGTGACAGTTTCCACCCGTTAACCCTTAACTTGGTGACACTTTGTTATTAACAGGTTCATTGTAAAACCAGATATATGTCTTCCAGATCAAAGTCAATAGCCTCTTATATCTTTATTAAGAGCAGAAATTATTGTTGTATGTTTAAATAAATCTTAGCAAACATATTTTCGTAAATGTTACCAAAACGTAAGTATACCCCCATGCAAAAGCATAAGTAAAAATAAAAAAATAAGAAAATATTACCCTCTGATGTTTTTAATGAATTTGGGGGAAAGTGTATAATGTGGGGTAATATAGAAACATTACTTTATGATTAAAACTGAGGTACTTAATTTTCAAACGAGTACCACTCAGCTGAAAAGGCAAGATGACCCTCAATCAGCCAATCAGCTCGCAGCCAAAGCGTTTGATAAACTATTTCCTAGTATGCAAATATATTTACATTAAGATGAAGACAGCTTCTTGCAGTCTGATTTTGTTCACAATGTTTTACTTTCACAAAACTCTTTCTGTTGAGACAAACAAAATGTGTTATTAATCAGATAATAACACCCCAGCTTTCAACAGGTTCTCGAAGTCTATGCCTCAACACACAAAACAGATACGGAATGACATTTCTAAAAGTACATGTAATACCAGTCTAAATGGCTTTCCTATTTCATCCATGTCCCTCATCCACACTGACAGCTCTCCTTATCTCCTCCACTTAATCTGAGCCATAATCAGGCCTGTGTAACTGCAGAGCGCCTGCCGTCTCCCTGAGCCCAGCTGGAATTTAAGGCAATGGGTGTGGAAAGTGTTTGTGCACGTCTCTATTGGAACCACATGTCCAGTCTATCACAAGTCTTTAAGGGACCAGCAGATAATCCGGCCCAGTGTGTCTCTCAGAGGAGAAAGCCAACCAATGTATTTCGCCATAAGCAAGAAAAACTGCAGGGGAGATGCTTGAAAGTTTATGAAGACTTCACCACAACTTTTACATTTCTGCATTCATGTTGTGTCTTTTAAGTCAGGAAAAATTGAAATGTTTGCCAATCTGACAAACACCCAATTCATACCACATGGGACAGTGCAACGCTGCTCAATGTTGCCGTGAGAGTAAAGTAAATATAGTTCGGGGTGAGGAATGGTAAGAAACATAATGCTAATGGGTTGCGCAACACAGGACAAATAGGGTCAGAAGAAATTGAAGACAACTAAGACTAAAATAACAGGTCCGCAACATTGAGCTGATGTCAAAGTTTTAATTTTATACCATTAAGACATTAGTGGTCAAAATAGCTCTTTAGTAACAGCCCAGTGTCCTGCCAAGTCGCATGTGCCACAGCTTCATAGACGCGGCAGCCAAGACTTCCTTAATGTAATAGTCAGAACCACAACACATAGTTTTCCACCTTACCACATTTCCAATTTAATATGTCATGTCTCATATTGTTTTGAAATTCTACATTAGAAGAAAGATTGCAGAGACACTTTGACCAACTTTATGTTCATTCTTGTGGTAAATTTGAATGGGAGCCTAAATTAACTTGTGTTCCCTCACTTGTCGTTTTATTTATTTTGGGATGTAGCTGATCTGTTGATTATTTGCATTACTTAATCAAGTATTTTATATACTGGAGTATTTTTCAAAACATCCTTAAATGTACATTTTGTATGAAACAAACCTGGCCTTCAGTGCAAGTGCCACACCAAAACAGCTCTCTGTGAAAACTAAACAATTTGTCGATGCAATGGAATAATTCTATTAATCGTTCCAGCTCTAACTCTAGCTGTCTCTTTTAAAATGATTAAGGATATGATTTTAACAACTTACTGCTGAGGACGGACTTTATTATGATGACACAAATCCACAAGAAACACACAAAGGATTAACATATGGTAATTACATTTGTACATGTTTAAATAACTCTTCCATTGTTTTGATGTCAAATATCAAACGTAAAAGAGTGAAGATGCTATTATTATAATTGGTGTTACGTGCAAGGGATATTTCTTCATTTTCAGCAGTTCTCGTCTTTAGGATTGTGAAATGTCTCTTTGTTGCTTATATAAATGCTGAGAGGGAATATTTGACTCATAGGCCGAGCGGCTGTTTACATTTGGGACTAGATCAGTAATGTAATACGCTTTGGCTCAGTCAGTGCATAATGGAGAGCTGGCACTGTTGTGGTCATGTGGGCCAGGACAGAATGCTGCCTGGCTCTTTGGCTTTCATCCGGAGGGCAACCAGGCTGGTGGGCTTGTACTCCGACTCTGGGGCATCGATGGAGGATGAGGCCAGTCCCCCGGAGAAGCTGTGGAGCGAGTAGAGGCCGTTGATGCCGTTGATGCCCGGGTGGTGGTGGTGTGAAGGGTGGTGGTGGTGGTGGTGGTGGGAGTGAGCGGGCGAGGGGGGCATGGCCATGAAGCTCTGCAGGTTACTGTGCGGATGAGGGTACGGGCTCATGCAGGATGAAGGGTCAGGTCCCAGGACACAACCAGCGGCTGGACCACCTCCTCCGGCTGAAGTCGCACCGGTCCAGAGATTTCCTTGCATCTGAATGGATAAAAAAGTTTATGTATAGATTTTAATGTTTATTATTTTTGCTTGATGCAATATGGGTTGTGAGGCGCTTTGTGTTGGCTTGTGTAGGAAAGGCTCTCTACAAATAAAAGTGAATTGATTGATTGATGAATGTACTTTTGTTTGACATGTTCGTATATGAGTGAAGGTGTAAGTAAAATCACACTTCAAGAGGCAAAAACGAGAGTGTGACTTTTTTTGTTTTATATAGAACAGGAAGCGAACACAAAACATATCTAATTAGCAACATATATAAATAACATCTTATCACGATCATACTGTAGATTTGTAGCCATCAATTAACATGCAAAACAACATTTAACATGAAACATGAATAATGTCAGAGTGACTCGATATCATAGATCAGTGTGTAGATCAGAGGAGGGCGACATCGGGATATTGGAATGTTATGGATGACACGTTTTCACCCGGTTACCATTTGGTTTAATTTGGAAAAACACATTTGCAAAATCTTAGTTCCAGACTATAAGCTGCTAAAATGTATTTAACTGATGAACAGAGGAAGTGTTTAACAGAAACACAGTGTTTTCACGTTCATCTTTTTCATCAATTGATTTTCTTTTATCCTTTTTACAATATAAAAGGAGAACTGATTATTTTATTTCAGCGGATATTGTATTTAATTGTTTTTTAGTTTTTTTAAACAAAATTATCAAAATTTTGCTTGGATTGAAACAAAACTGGACAAAGGTAAAGATAGACAGATTGACAGATAATCATAGACAATCGTATAACAGACAGATTCATGTTTTCCATGCATCATTACCTGTTACAATAGTATCTAGAGAGAGAGAAGTTGACCGTGTATAGAAACATGAATACTGTAAGGCGGAAAGATACTGCTGTAGACACACTGTATTCTGCAAATTAATATGTGAATTTATTGCATTCATTCCAAATTTCAAAATATCCTCCTTTTCTCAAGTGTTTCATTTGGGTTTTTCAGGCTGTGAGCCATTTTCTCAACGCAATACCGAGACTTGATATATATAGTAGTTTAACAATGAAGGATATTCTAATTTTCTTAGTTACAACAAAAATATAATCATTCAAATATTGATTAATTTTGTTTAATGTCAAACACTGAAGACATAATAATGGATTGAAGTTTACCTGATAAGTATCGTGGCGAGGCAGCAGAGATAAGTCGTAGGTTGCTGCAAAGTGGTTGCGGACCTCTTGGATCTTGCCGTAGCGCTCGCGTTTCCTCCACTTTGCTCTACGGTTCTGAAACCAGACCTAGAGCAGAGCCGACAGTTACTCCTTGGGACGTCCAAAATCTTACTAAGATGCAGTACAATCAATTTATTGTCAATTTTCCTATAAATTATACTAAAACTAATCATATAGTATTTCTAGTTGCATTGCGTACATTTCATTTTTAACGCTAAAATGATGAAAACAAAAACTCCCTTGCACACAGCATTTGTATCCAGCAGTGTTTTATCTCAGGATCAGCAACGTTTCAGCCATGTTCTTTTTACAGTGAGAAGCCGTCTTCAATAGTGTGGGGATGGCAGCTTCACTTATACTAAAATAATGGCATACATTCCATATTGTAAATGTAAACCAAAAGAAGAATTAAGAAAATGAAGTTTTCTTATTTCTGATGAAGCTTTTCTCTTGGAGGACTAATACTTTTAGCCGTAGCAATATAACAATATAAGCAAATATTTACAAACTGGATTTTCCTAATCACGTGCACTTTTATATAGTAGTAATTTTGAGAAATGTCATGTAGATTTTGTATTTATTTTTCTGCATACCTTTTTCTATTTTTACTTTTATAAGTTGTTTACACCGAGACCCAAAGCAATTTACTCTGTGACTTCCTGTTACTCACAATGGCAATAAAGAGTTCACCAACAGCTCCCTGACGGAAACATTTATATCATCCTGCTAAATCAAGTCAAGATTAGAGAATGATCAAAAGTTGATTTAGCTGTACTAAAAATCTGCGCTCACCTGGACCCGCGCCTCGGTCAGCTCTGTGCGGAGGGCCAGCTGCTCTCGAGCGTACACGTCTGGATAGTGTGTTTTCTGGAACACTTTCTCCAGCTCCTCAAGCTGAAAGGTGCTAAATGTGGTGCGATTGCGGCGCTTTTTGTTCTTGCCCGACAGGTCGATGGAGTCTGCGATGGAGTCTCCCTGGATCATGGCCTCTTTCATCTTTGCACAGCAGTCTGAGCTGATCCCTGGGTACACCATGGGTTTGAGGGCTCCCTTCTCTCTGTCTTTGAACACAAACAGTAAAAGCAAGAAATTAATACTTGATGTATTATGAAGATGATTATTTTTATTTTGCACGCCCATGATTGTAGGCCATCTTTGAGTATTTAGAAAGCACCATGTAACTAAATTTTTTATTATTTAGCCATACTTCTCCAGGGCTCAACAACCCAGATTGTAACACATTTTGACCAGATTCAGGCTGCTTTGGGCTTCACAATGAGGAGACATATCAAAATTGACACATCTTTTTATGGAGCTGAAGTTGGCTTAATGACTCTGTACACTATTACGATCTCAATAACAATGGGTTAGCAAGGCAGAGGTCCACAAGAAAAATAAATTTGTCTAAAAGAAACACTGAACCAAGACGACCACACGCCCCAGTAAAGTTCACTCATAAAAGTCAGTAGATTATCCAGGGACACCATATTCTTTTATCATACAGAGCTACCTTTCTTCTATTCAAGCGACAAAGCATTTTGTTTTAGCTTGTTTTTTACTGTGGCAATGGTCCTGTTTGTTTGGCTGTCCTGGAGCCCCCGGAGGAGTCTCTTTCAGCTCAGAGCCTGGTGCAGGGACAAGGACCAGGAGCTGCCGCTGTGAGCTCCGTACTGCTCAGTCTGATGTCTGCTGGTGGAATATAATCCGCCAGTCCGGGACACACACTCGCTTTCTTTTTTTGCTTTTATCGCTTTCATCTTTTAAAAGTCGACATGTAGTTTTTTAATGCGCCTCCCACCACAGAAAAAAACACTACAACACAGGACATAGGACACCAGCCTTTTTTAATCTGGTTTCACTTGTTAAATAATCAAATATCTGATTCTAATTACTCTCTGTGACCAGCTACTTATATAACGTCTTGAACAATAGTGGTTCATTTATAAAAGGATAATTAAAATTCAGGCAGGTTGTGAGCCCTGGATAAAGTTGTAAGTGGAGTCATGCGCTTTAAAAACAAATAATTGAATGACAGCTAAACTCCGAGCTGAATGTGCACTGTTGTGGGAACTTGGTGTTAGTGGTAAACATTTAGCAGTTTTATTACATTAAACAGCACATAATCCTGTTTATAAGAATTATCCAAACCCATTATACCTCTTGGTTGTTTTTCTCATTGCACAAAGAAAGTCCTGTGAGGTGAGTGTAGGAGCCCCCATTCTGATTCAAACAGATAAAACTTTACCATTAGAAAATCTCCATTGAGAACAGTCTGTCTGGCCCCATAAGAGTGTGTGTGTTGTCTTGTTGTTTAGAGGTGGATGTGTGTGCTCATTACGTGACACATGCAGTCTGCGCTCAGAGCACTTCTCGTACGACATTTAATTTCCTTGTGTCCATTAGATCCACAACAGCTCGTAAGAATCCATAGAGACAGAAGCCGCAGGACGTTTGCAACTGTCAAAAATCCATATCCGCTGCACCTCCACTAAAAAGCAGTTATGGGAAATACGGAAATGGTCAAAGTAGTAACAAAAAAATCAGTTGCAAATGTAAGTATCTGATTTCTATAAAAGTTTTGGATTGAATTTTATCCCATGTTATTTGTATTAAGAAAATGTGTTTGCCGATTGACAACAGTAATCAATTTGTATATGTTATGAGTTTTTAATTGAAATCCTATGTGTGCGTGTTTTGAGTTGTTATTTATGTGAATGTAAGACATTTTGACGTTAATCTATGTCTTACTATTAGTATATTTGTTTTTGACAATGATCATTATGTATGTGTGTGTCTGTGTGTGCCCGTGTGTGTTTATGTGAGTGTGTGTGTGTGTGTGTGTTAGTTTGATTTATTCTTGTTGCCTTCATTCTGATTCAAATAGATACAACTTATCCATTCAAACTGTTTGACCCTTCCAAATGAAATGTTGCATTTGGGGTAAATAAATTGATGTTGCAAAACAAACAAAACAAAACAAAATGTAAAATGATAATAAAAAGAAAAAGTCCTAATTTGAAGACCTGAAAGTGTATCTGACGGTTGTCCTAAAGAGTCTTGCTCAAATTCACACTTACAGGACAAAAAACAAAGCAATTTCCGATGAAAATTTAATTTGGAAAAGTAATTAAAGGACTTTGAAAGAGGCGGCTGACAGTGGTATTTTTGGCAGAAACATGAATCATTTGTATATTTTTGTGGACACAGAGATGTCTGAGCGCAATATCCTCCTCTGTTCAATTATACACACCCACAAATACAGACAAAGACATGACTTCTTCAGGAAACGCGTTTATGGACATTTATAGAGCATTAAGCATCAGACGTCTGCGCTCAGTCCATCATTTAAAAGAGTGATTAGTGTTTGACGGCTGGCGGCCGCTCTCCCGTCTGACCCCTCTGACCTCTGCATTTTCACTGCGAACTCTACTCGAGTTCATTTAGCACTTTGTTCATATAGCTCATATATTTTACCAATAATAATTCACTATGCTGCATATGTGGGCTATACTTCAGACGTGAAACTTGTGTCGTACACTGATAATGATGATAATAATAATACGTCATAATCAAAAACTTTAATAATAAGAATTATTATTATAGTTAATTTGTATTATTATTATCATCACTATTGTTGTTATTATTATTATTTGTTTATTATATTTTTGCAAGAACACGGGTTTGGTTAAACCGCCCTCCAAATGCAGTTTGTTCATTGTCTAAAATAAAAAGGCATGTGTTTTACAAAACTCACCATCCGAGCTTGAGTCATAAAATCCTGCTTTCCCACTGATCACGGTCCCCTTTTGATCTGGGCTCATACTGTCCAGAAACTTGCCGTGTTTTCCCGGGGACGCGGTCTGGGCTCCGTGCGTAAAGTCCGCCATGGCCGCGGTGTAGAGGCGGTGCTGGAGGGGCCCGAGGTGAGAGGACTTGAGTTCCTCACATCTTAAGAAAGAGCTTGGGCCAGAGCCCTGCTCTCTCCCCGGAAGGCCCGGGAGGCCCGGGGAGCCATCGGGAGTGCGCCTGTTGCTCTGCGGAGAGAAGGACAAGCACGTGTCCTCCATGACGCTGCTGCTCCGCGCACGGACACAAACTAACTGCTCTGTGTTTTTTTCTGCCGCTGAAGTGAAGTGGGAGGGATTTTACCGATCCCACACAAAGACCCGTGAAACCCATACCGCGTGCGTGGAAACGTGCGTGTTGTGAAAGAGTGGCGCGCGCGTAAAGGCCCGTCAGCTTCCACTCTCGGATCATTTTCCAAAAATTCAATCACGTGCGGTTTGTGTCCTCTCAATTAACCATTTAATTATTTTCTCACATGTTGTCAGGGTCCTTATACAAAAGTCTAGCACTGGGACCATGTGAACAACAATAAATAAATTGGATACATTATTATTGGTTTCATCTAGTTTATTTTAAAGTTGCACTCAGCGAGTCTTGTAAACATATGTATTCAACATTGAAATAACTGAACCAGTTGAAAATTAACTAAGCAACCACCGATCGTAATTTATGCTTCACACGAGAAACACTGAGCTACTCTGTCGTCCAGTCAAAAGTTCTGTAAAATATATATATATATGTTCATAATTATGCCTATATGACACGCGATAAGCAGCTATATGTTAGGCCTCACGCACAGTCAAGTATTCAAACATTAAAAGTTGCATACGACTTACATCGTTCGCATATGCTGTGTGTTGATGTCTGATTTTTTTAAACCGCTATTTCTTCCAAATCATGTTCTATGTGAATTAATTTATATAAGAAAGATAATTCATTCGATTATTTGCGCACGTTATTTTTTACAAACACCAGAAACTAAATAAAGACATTTTATCATAAAACTAATTAGGAATTCTGCGCCCTGCTGATACGTTACGTTTAAATGAATTAAAGGTCTTTGGAGATCTCGAATTATATTTCTAAATCATAATTTTATATATCCTTAATATAATATTTGTATATATTATATATTATAATATTTGTTCCAATTGATAACGTTTTTCAGAGTGTAAATGGTGCTTGAAGCAGGTTATCAGCTGATCTGTTGATCTAAATGTTGCGAATGGGTTTGACTCAGTGTAAGTTAAAAGGCCGTTATCTCTGATCTGACGTGCTCCATCTAAACACTGTGCACTTACCAGCACGCGCGCACATCTCCTCATCTGCGGATCTCTGTGCGGACCCCGAGTGTGCGTCACTCTGCTGACGGACAAGTGCGTAAACAACTGGTCCATTTCAGCTGCGTGGCCATTCTGATGTGGAGACACAGCACTAACCCGTGAATCATTTAGAAATGTCACTGCAATACGTTGATTATTGCGATGGACCGACAGTCTATGAGGCAAAAAGTCTATTGTAACTCAATTTACTATTCTTTACTTCAGGAGGTTGTTGAGTACTAGCTTTATGGATTCCTGCGTAAAACAATTAACACAGTAAATATTCCCAAACATTAGCCTAAGCCATTTTGTGTCCTATACTTTGTGAAATCACTTTAAAGCTGCATGTCTTCCTTACTGTATGTGGAAGACAACAAGCAAGGTTCCTGAAGTTCAAGTGATTAGTGGCAGTAGATATAGGGCCTAACGACATTAGCTTCTAACATGACTTAGATTAGAATGTTTGGGTCAGTGGGGCAATAAGACTCAAAAGACTTTGCTGTCATCTAAATCTGAGCTACCGTTCAGACCCTCACACTCTAAATGTTAGCCTGGCTATAAACATTGCTACAGTTGCCACGGTGGGCGGCACGGTGGCAGAGTGGATAGCACTCTCGCCTCTCAGCAAGAAGGTCCTGGGTTCAAATCCCGGTCGGACCAGGGCCTTTCTGAGTGGAGTTTGCATGTTCTCCCCGTGTCTGCGTAGGTTTCCTCCGGGTACTCCGGTTTCCCCTACCACTAAAAATATGTCCAATAGTTCTGGCATGCGCCTCCTGTACTGGCGACCCCGCTCCCATCTCTGTGTGGAGTGAGAGACAAATGCCCATAATTAACAATTGTAAACCGCTTTGAGACTCAGATCTGCAGTGAAAAGGCGGTATATAAATAAAAACTTACTTACTTACTTACACTATTTATCAGACTGGCTGACTGACCACCATTAAAAACCTCATAATTTTCTCTGAGGGGGGTATGTTGGGGGGACATAAACACAAGGGGGAATAGGATATGTTTCTAAAATGTCGTGACAAGCATGTCCTGTGTAGCCTAAGGGGGCAGAGAGTTCCTAGATTCACAGAGCCAGCTGAGTAAATGGACTCCAGAAATGTGGCCAAGAGGAAGAAGCCGAGAGCTGCCTCAGGTAAAGAGTGTTTATATGAACGTCGTATTAAGAAGCAGACGATGGAGGCACAGCCACATGCTTGGAAGTCTCCAACATGTCTCCAACAAGTCTCCAATGCTCTGCAGGCCATGCAGGTGACTCAGTATATACTGATAACACTGGTCGACTAATGTTTATACTTAATAAATGCAACTTCATCAAAAAATAATAGAAAACATTTAAGAATAGTTATGAGAACGTGTGTTTGGTGCTTTGGGCTGGTCTATAGTGAGGGTCACTCTGCCCTAATACACTTACGTATGAGTGAAATGTGTGGGAAATGCATGTGGCCAGATATTAGAGCGCATGTGAGAGAAAACAGAAAGGAACAAATTGCACAGGATTAAATATCCACTGTTGATAATACACCAGCATTAAACTGAATTAAACTTAATGCCTGTGGTAGTTCTATTGCAATTACCCCATTGTAGGACAAACATTTTGAAATCAATGGGACTGAAATCTCAATAACAAAACACTGCCCTTAAAATCTACTCAAGACATATTTTTGTTTTCAGGGTTTTCTTATCAGATAGTGTACTGTCCGTGAGCAGCAGCACTCTGCTCCCTGTGGTCTAAACTCTCGTCCCCCAAACATGTCCGAGCCATGACCCTGCTCAGGAAATCAGTTCAGCCTGTTGGGTCATGCAGTCCCCCCCACTGCCCTCAGAGCTGGCCACAGACACAAGATAAAGGTGACCCCAGCCTCACTCTGCAGCCTCAGGCTGAAGCTCCACATCCTCTGTGCTGGGACGTCCCAGGGCTCAGTCACACCCTGTTGCACCTTACATCCTCTCCCAGCACACACCAACCGGCACATGACAGCAGGCATCTGAAGCTGTATTTACACAGACTTTATGACTATTGTGTGAGGCAGTGCAAGCTCTCGGGTAAAATTATCAGTCAAATAAAACAATGAAGTTATAATTAGGGAGTCATGAAGACACAAGAATTTTTTTTTTTTTGTGTGTTCTCTCAGATGATAATGCAGTTGATACAAAACAAATTGGTTCTAAATAAATGTTTGACATCACAATTGAAGTTTGTATCAAAAAATAAATACATCTTTCCAATATTGTATCGCTCTGCATAGCAATAAGCATGCAATTGCTGTTATAAAGCCAATCTATAATTATTATTGTGATTATTGATTGACTCACTGAACACAGTGTAGAACTTTAGGAGTAATGTGTGGATAGAAGCTGTCTGTCTCAGTGTTTACGCCGCAGGCTCTTCCTCATTCGTACAGGGCGGTGATTCAACCTGAGGTTTGCATTAGAATAGGAGAAGGATAGCTAATTTAATTAGGCACCATGAATGCACAGAGATGATCCCATGTGCAGAACCTCCAGTCATGTCCAGGATGAGTGACAGCAGCTCACCCCTGGGTCAGTGGCTGGAGAGGCTCTCTCTGCTGTGGGCTTTGAGTTTGAAAAGAGAGAGGGAAGTGTGGCCACTGTCCTCCACATAACCTCAGCATGGAGCAACCATCATCACACTCAAGAGGGAGTATGAAAGGAACAATCAAAGAGCAATTACAACTAATATGTAGGCTATAGCATATCAACAAAAAAATAAAATAAAATGAATCTATAGACTTATAGTGAACGAAATTTGGACCTCATATAATAATTATGTATATGTAATAATTTAAATTGTCCAACACAAATTAATAGTATAATTCTGCCTTACCAACAATATAAACTAGGGGGAAAATGTGAAAAAACATTCAACCAGTGCAAAAACTTTGAACAGGCAAACAATATGTTTTTTTTTTTTTTTTAAGCAATGGAAATGAAATGAAATAGACAATACGTACAATATACCGGGTCCGTAAAGGCGTCCTCGGACACGAAGGCCACGTGTTTCTCTCAGTCTAATTGAATTCCTTATAGTGAACAAATTCACTAAAAAAGGCTTCAGCTGCGCAAGTGTCAGTTTTATCATTCCGTGTGGACTGTAGCAGGAGCTATACCCACCATGCACCGCGGCACTTCAAATATGTTTTGTTTGTCTCTGTCTTTCACATGGGTTTTTCACCACGTTATTTCCGCATGGAGAAGGAAGAGATATCACAACCGTGTTTTTCCACTTTAGTTGTATTGTAGTTTTGAAAAGACCGTAAGACAGGCCATTGGGTCAAGGATAAAGTGTTTTCCTCATCGATGCAAATGTAACCATTCATTCGAACGTATGGGTGTATAAACAAACTACCACAGCCAGCGCTGCTAAATTATTATGTATGTGTACAGTACAAGTATTTATCTTATTCAAAGCACAGCGTATACAAATGTTGTCGTGTTTAGTAGAGTTGGAGCTGTCTGCTCCTAATGGGAGTGGGACCCCTGATGATCGGTCTCTGTCAGAGAGACAAACTCCACGGCCGCGCTCCCGCACATCGTGTCTCCACAAGGTGAGAGACCTTATAACTGCGAAAAATTTGTGGTATTTCTACTTTCTTTTTTCAAAATCATTTGAGACCGCACTTGCCCTGAATAGAGAGGCCTTTAGAAAGAAGTTAACAGAGGATGACAGAGGATTGGCTTTGGAGACGTCGGCTCTGCTGCCAGTACGCGCACACGCTCGTTCAAAGAGAGTGACGTGTGATCGCTTCTGTTTGCACTGGGAAGATCAAGCCAAGTTTAATCAAATGTTAAATAACTATTTGAGACATGTATCCCGAACTCTGGAATATGTCATGTAGATAGATTTAGATCTGCAGGATACAGCGGCCGCGTATAGGAGCAAGGGGTTAACGAATGGTTCTTATTACACCGACCCATAACAAAGACTATCGTGTCATAACTATTTAGTCTGTCAGTGTCTGTTATAGGATGTAGGCTTAGCATCAATTGCTTTGTTACATTAATTGGTCTCAGACCCAATTACCAAACATTGAATATGGTCCTCCGTCTAAATTTGATGCAGCAGCAGAATTCAATGCCTTTTTTTAGTTTTTGTCAGATAATTTATAAAAACTGGTGACTGATACGGTATCGTTTTGCCACTGAACATACGTTGTGTCTCCAGCCGCAGGATGAATCTTCTCCTGAATACCAGTCTGGCCCGTCTCTTTGTTGGTGTCCAATAAGATGCAGCTGTACAAGCGCTGCTCTGGGGTCATCCTCTCAGCGGATGCTCGACTCTTCTGCTACTGGAGCCTGAGGGCCTGGGCACGCGGCTTGACCCCAGAGCCACCCAGACACATCCCATAATGCAGCCCTTTACCCACAACGCACTGCTGCTGACAGGGTGGTAAGACAAATACACTCATGCACTGATGATCACTTTCTAACTAAAGTCCCAAGTCATTTTCTTTGTTCAAATTACATGTTTGTATCATTGGGAACTAACCCAGGATGGTAATGTTTATAAACTATACAAGTGAATGAATGAATGACTATAACAATATTAGTGTTATTGTTATTATTATTATTAATATTAGTATACAAACAATTAGTGTGTATGAGTAAAAAATGGGGTTCTATCATAAAATAAGAAAAAATGTCATCTGGGCATTCAGGCTGAAAGGGATGCATTGGTGTTCCTCTTTCATAAACTGGTGTTCTCTGTTTATATACAGGAGAAAACTCCTGTATATAAAAAATATATATTTGAATGATGAGTTTAAGGCCGATTGACAGCAGGTTCAATGTACTCTTGTCCAGAGAACTTAAACATTCACAAATATATTCTGGCTGTATCTGGAAGTGGGAAACAGACATCAAGCAATATGATATTTGAGCCCATTAAAATCCTGTATAAAGTTTTATTGTTTTAAATGGACAATATTTGAAGAAAGAATACAAATAGGTTGGGATGACTCTGGAATCAGGAGCAGCTGCAACAATGACCTAAAAGCTTTCAGCAGAAACTTCACACTCCAGGCTCTGCTTGGAAGGCAGTTCCTACTTCCAACATCTCCCGCCAGCTCATCTCAGATTTAGATAAAACTCTTAACTGAGCAGCAGTCCGGGCCAAAACCTACAAACGTATGTCTTACTATAAATAATTCAAATCGACAATGAAGTTGAGTGAATTTGTAGGATTCAATAATCAATTATTGGAGTTTAGAGGGATTTTGGTAATACTAATGAAAGGTGCAGTGTTAGCATGTGCATGTTTGTTAGTTACCGCACACTGGAGACCGCGTCTGCACCAAGTTTCACCAAATCTAATTTATGAGCACTTTGCAGCAGCTGGATTTGCACTTCCGACAGAGAGATATTATTACCATAACACAGTAGAAGAGGCTTGACTTTTAATCATTGCTTTCCTCCCCAATTATATAATATAGCATGTGTTATTAATTTTGGTTTATAATGATTTTGAAAAGTGATGTCTATAAACACTTAAATGAGTAATCCATGAATGTAAGAAGCCAGCACACTTCAGTTTTTGAGAGAAAAAATATATACTGTATATTATTCAATGTGTTTGAGAATAGTAAATAGTTCTTGGAATAATGCATAAAATCCTCCTCACAGTTCACACACATGTTCACGCACACGCGCACACGCACACACACGCGCGCGCACACACACCCACATACGCATACACACGCACACGTACAGGTACACGTACACGTACACGTACGCGCGCAGAGAGAGAGATAGGAAGATAGGCCCCTGCAATAATGCAAACATGTTTTATGAACTTGTTTGCATAATTATCTTATGTGTTTCTATTAACCCGAGATACAGTTTTCTTTCCACTATCTGAAATTGAAACACCACTAGGAAAGAACTTCATTGAATGTTGTTATTTTTTTTTTAGATAATACAGACATGTATAATGATCAGTGACAATATAATGACAAAATAATTGAATGAAAATACATTTATGTTTAGTTGAAGATAAAACTCGTGAGGCCTTTTGGACTTGTGCCCCAAATGGATTGATCTTTTGAAATGATGGGCCAATCTGTATCTTGCAGCTCTCGGTCTAACTCTGTTTTTTTTGTTTGTTGGAGAATCGTTCTTGACACAAGAATGAACAAATGTGTTTGGTGAGGGCTAAAATCATCTATAATTACACATCTTCTCAGCGGCCACATTTCACTGCTCTGGCACAGGGCGTGCTCCTGAACTGAATGGAAAAGCAGAGATGGCTCGTCATACAAAGTCTTAAGATCACACTGAATATTTGTCATCGCACACATCACGTTTGAAAGATTTACACTGAAGGCATGATCTTTTGAAGATAATATAAGATAAAAATGGAGTTCATTACAATTTTGCAGTATTCCTTATTTAATTTGAAAGAAGATGTATATATTTGTATTGTTCATTATTAAAGCTGCGTGACCTGATTTCTATCCAGAAATATTTTACTGTGTAGTTAAATCTCTCCAACTACAGTTCCTTGCTCTAAAACGTTTTTTTCTATCACTATAGACTCACAAGTTTGAAAAAGATATCACGTTTTCTCCCAAGATAAAGTCAGCCAGTCCAATATCAAACTACACACCATCTTACTTTAATTATGAAAAGTATATCGTAAACAAGGCATTTACTACTTTGTCTACTTATTGCCCCGCCCTATATGTATATAACACTAAATATAAATATATAGATATTTCAGAAGATTGATATTGAAGTATTTACAGCTAGCTAAGACACATAGCAGCTACTTATATTGTATATTTTGTGTTCTTACAACTATCCTGCATATGCGCTGCAACATTTACATTTCCCCACTTTGGGACGATAAAAAAGGTTCTCTTTCTTATCTTACCTACAGAAAATATTGGACACAGTTTAGACGTGACGTCGGCTTCAGTCCTCAGTCCACATTTTTAAACATGCAAAAGATTTCAGAAAGAATGCCAATGAACGATTAAATTCCATTGCAATGTGTTGTACAGACCTACTGCGTTTAATCCCTGGTTACACACATGTTATCTGGTGGAAGTGGTCAGTGTTCGTCTGTTCTGATGGCCTGAGAGTGACCTCCAGAGACCAGCCGCTCCTCTGACCTCCTCTGCCCTGAAGTGAGGCTCCGGCCTGGGGACCACGCGCCCCGACTGCGCCCTCAGACTCTATCTGTCTGGAGGATTCTTCCATTCCCCTCTCCGCAGGCCCGCGCTCCCCATGTCAGCATCTGATTAAAACAAACACTCACCCTATTTGGGTATCTAATCCAATAGTGGTCTTTTTCTTCTCACCGACCCTAGAGCGCGCAGGGTATTTGGTGTCCTGGGACCCCCCCCTCTGAGACTGAGCTAAGATTTCAAACGTGCAGACATCACGTATAAGGGCACAGTGTAAACAAAGCACTAATGAACTTTCTCGTTTGGCTACAATTCCTATAGTGTTATGGACCATTCACCTAACCATTGTGCTAATGGAGTTATCAAGTTTTCATACTAATAATCTTCATACTAAACAAAGGAGAACTAAGCTGAAAAAAACTATTGGAATAAAAGGACAAAAAAATCCATCAACAATGAAGGAAGCATCTCATAAGCATCTCATTGGTTTTGTGAAGCGGACCGATAGATGATTTATTTTTTGAGGCTACAGGCATTTGGGTGTGTCTATTCCTATTTGAAAACATATGATAATTTGATTACTTTTGGGGTTTAGGAACATTTCCCCAAAGTATTTTAAAAATGTCCAGATAAATCACTGACTGCATCTTAAATTAATTAATTGATTGTGCATCCCATTAGCAAACACACAGTATTCTGTTCTAAAATATCATTGGCCTTCTTACGAAACATAACCATCAAAAAGCTATAAATAACATTTGAAGCAGATCAACGCACTATAACAGGTCATTGCGTTTTTTGAGGTGGGTTTTTGAAAATCAGTAGCATTACACGCAATGTACCAACCCCAGGCAAAGTTACGGGCCAGATCTGTGAAAGAGAATCCTGGTTATTTCTCTGGGGTTATTTTCAGATGGGCTCAATCCCCTAATGAGACCTATAGGCTGACTTTGACGTTGACCATAACCAGATCACAGTCCTAATAAAGACAAAAACACTTTTAGTGCTTTCTAGAAGTTGGTAAACACTCAACTCTAGAATGATCACAGAAAGGTGACTCTTCTATTTTGCCTTGATAAGCTGCGCTGTAATAGTTTATCGAGGAACTTCATATTTATAAACGAATAATCATAGATTATTGTGATTGTGTATCTTTATGAAGGACACAATATAACATGCTGTGCATACTGTACAACTGAGGGATTTTATATTTTTATCTTTCTTTTTAATGTTCTGTAATTATTTATGATTTTAATGCTATCTTGTTCAGCACTTTGAATTGCCTTGTGTATGAATTGTGCTATACAAATAAACTTGCCTTGCCTTGCCTATGCTCCATGGTAAAAAAAAATAAAAAAAATGCAATACATACAGTATTTTGCATATAGAACCAAAAACATGTAAAAACAGACCTTTACAGCTGCTGTACATTATGAAGGCATGACGTCCAGTGATTTCAAATGAATGAAATAACTAATTTTATTGTGTATTGCTGTTTTTAGTGCACTTTTGTATGTATTGATATTATCATTATCCAGTGATGATTGTGTCAATAATTTATCTTTTTTTTATATCCTCTGTGGCACTGTAGACTGTGTGTTTGCGGCCGGTGTTCTGAGCTCTCGCGCGTCGTGTTCGTGCTTCAGATTTCAGAGCGACTGGATGAAAGTGTCTGAGCGGTGAGGCTCATATCGGGAGGTTATTGGGAGAAGGCTGTTGTTTATTGTTTTGTTATAAAGGCAAAGGGTCAGAGCTATGACCTCCAGAAAAGAGACCAAAGAGCTGAGTGCATCAAACGGGCCGCTTCCTCTGGGTCCATGGGCTCGCACTGAATGGCCGTTGGTGTTTTTGAGGCAATATAGAGTTTTTTTGGGGGAAAAAAAGTGACATTTAAATGTCACATTTTTTTACATGTTTAAACATCACGTTACAGTGATCTGAGTTTGGCATCCGTTTGGTTCTGTATTATGATGTATTTATCCTGGTTTATTTACTGGTCAAATCTGTGCTAATTTAAGGTTTTGTATCAGTCTTGTGGTCTTTATATGAATAAGAAGTGCGCCCTTTTGTCCTGGTACCCGGACTAGAGTCATTATTTGTTATAATTTAGGGATACAATTGAAATTACTTTTTTATCTTCTTTTTTTTTCAATCATATTTGTTCTATTTTAACCAAAATAATGTAATTCCTTGTAATGTTACAAAGGATTGAAGAGCAGCACC